AGGTTAGGGGTCTTCTGATGTCTTCAGTCTGTAATAGTTATATATATATATATATATATATATATATATATATATATGAACGATGTTTTTTTAGCCTGTCAAAATTATATACTAATTGCATATATATATATATATATATATATATATATATATATATATATATATGTATGTATGTATGTATGTATGTATGTAAACGTGTGACCAAATGGCAATGATCTATGGAAATGGCCTTTCCAAAGACGAGAGTCCAGTGTGAGCCGTACACGTATCAATGGCAGAAAGGTTAAATTTATCACGCTAAATAAACTTGTCCCCCAGCAGAAATTTGCTTGTAATCAACACTTTTCTATCTCGCTATTTTTTTTTGTGTTCCATTGATGTTGCTTTAAGGTAAGCCGTATGTGAGAAAGAACGACAGAATCGCACGATGAAATCGTCGTCAAGGATTGTAAAAAGAAAAAAGGAATCATGTTTTTAAAAATGCAAAGTGTTTGGTGAGAAGCTTGATTTTAAAGCATCACGCAACGACTAAAAATTAGTTTTCTTCGGCAGTCAGCTAAAAATACAAAATATCATACCCTTTTATTGGCCTAGGGTAGAATATTCTCTTATTTATTCCAATCTATTTATAGCTATCTATCTCATTTAATCTCCCCTTCTCTCTCTTCTCTCTCTGAAGACACAGAACTGATGCACATTGTGTGCAACAATGTTACCAAACGATTTTCCTTATATTTTCAATTTAGAGCCTTACTTCTCCTACAGCAGGTGCTAGACATGTCTGTTATGCAATTTACCACAAAGGTATTTCCTCGTAGTATAAGGAATCCTGTTTTCCTGACTGCTGGAAGTCCTCTTCGAGTGTTCCTGTCTTCAAGAAATCTGGCGACACCTCCGACCCTTCTAATTACCGTCCTATCAGTCTCCTACCCCTCTTCGGCAAAGTCTTCGAAGTCCTAATCAATACCGAAGTGATTACCCACCTTACCTCTCACGACCTGCTCTCAGACAAGCAATATGGCTTCCGCTTTGCCCGATCTACAACTGATGTGCTTACGGCCATCACTGAAACTGTCTACCAAGCTCTTCAAAATAACGGGGAAGCTCGTGCCGTGGCCCTAGACATCTCCAAAGCGTTTGATAGGGTTTGGCATGCCGGCCTTTTTTGCAAGCTCCAGTGTTATGGCATTACGGGTCGATTGTTTGATCTAATACAATCATTCCTGACAAACCTTGAACTGAAGGTCGTTCTCAACGGATTTTCCTCCAGTTCCTATCCCACGAACGCAGGTGTTCCTCAAGGCTCCATCCTAGGCCCCACTCTATTCCTTATCTACATAAATGACCTTCCTGACGCCATAACTTCACAAGTTCGCATCTACGCGGATGACACCACAATTTATTCCTGCCTCAAAAACAAATCTACTCTCACTGACAAAACTAACCTGTCCGTGCGTCTTGAAAAGGACCTCCAATTGGTTGTGAACTGGGACAAGAATTGGCTGGTCAACTTGAATGCCTCAAAAACAAAACTACTCTCTATTAATCACCACAGAGATCCTTCCCTGCCCTCCATTAGAATGTCTGACGCTCAACTTCTCGAGAGCAACTCATTGCGGTTGCTCGGTCTCACGTTGACTGCTGACCTGAGATGGACCAAAACATTGAGTCAATTGCTTCGTCCACCGCAAGGAAAGTTGGCTCCCTGTGCCGCGCCAGGAAATTTTTCTCCCCGGAATCGATCCTCCTGATCTACAAATCAACAATTCGCCCTTGCATGGAGTATTGCTGCCATATATGGTCTGGAACCCCTTCTGTTTGCCTCGGGGTTCTTGATAAGCTCCAGAGGCGGATATGCAATATAATTGGCCCTGTTCTGGCATCTCGTCTACACTCTCTCTCTCACAGCCGCGTCGTCGCTTCTCTCTGTCTGTTTTACAAATACTTTCATGGCAATTGCTCCGAGGAGCTGCATTCACTGGTTCTCAGACTTCATGCGTTCAAGCGCCCTACGAGGCTGGCATCCCGCTCTCACCCTTTCACTGTTGAAACTGTTAAATGTAGTCGTCTCTTCTACTCCAATAGCTTCATATCTCTCACCTCTTGCCTGTGGAACTCCCTTCCCTATTCCAGTTTCCCTGAGAGCTATAATCTTCAACTATTCAAATGTAATGTCAATTGACATCTCCTGTTGCCTTGATCGATCCACTATACTTCTCCTCATCCGTTCCTCAATCACCCCTATCTGATCTCGCTCCAAATCTTCTGTCACCCCTTGCGTCCTAGTGGCTTCCCGCCTTGCTTGGAGTGAAACGCTTAATATATATATATATATATATATATATATATGTGTGTGTGTGTGTGTGTGTGTGTGTGTGTGTGTGTGTGTGTGTGCGTGTGTGTGTGTGTGTGTCCGTGCGTGTGTTTCTCTCTCTGTGTGTGTGTGTGTGCGTATCTTTATCAGTGGAAATTGAAGGTCAACACATGGCCTGAAGATTGCTTACAAGCAGACTGTTGCCGCCCGGTGTTGACCTCGGTATCAACTTTTTTATTTACATACACTCCACTCTTGATATTGAGCGCTTTTATCCGTAAATATACCTTGCCTTAAAATTATATTTTCATCACACACATGCACATTAAAGGTTTCTGTATTTATGGGGCTGAATGCCCAATGTAGGAAATAGAGCGTTTGTAGATAAGGGATTGCATAGGCGTATGAATCAACGTGATATAGTCATTGCCTATTTTACGATCTATCGCAGTTTGTTCCTATCTATCTATCTATCTATCTATCTATCTAGCTAGCTAGCTAGCTAGCTAGCTAGCTTTGTGTGTGTTCGATTAACTATGTGTGTTTTAAAAAGCTAAGATATATTGCTTTATACGAAAAGAATGGTTGTTCCATGAAAGATGATAAGAAATGTCTCATTTGTTTGGCTTATCTTCATGTGACGAAGCGACGTTGACGGTCGAGCCGACATATTGATTTCATGGCAGGTCAAGCAAATTACACATCATCTAACTCAGAGATTGTGACAAGATCGTGAATTCCTGCATGTAAGCATGTTTACGGAGACGAAAAAGCGATCGGCTTGCATTTATTATATTTTTCCAACGCTACGAAAATCGGAAATATGACAATATATTTTCAGGAAAATCCTGGGCTCAAAAAAAAAAAAAAAAAAAAAGATGTTGAGATGAGATTAAAGCCAACACATTAAATTGCTATTATTTACACTATTTACATTATTCAGACTGTTGTCCTCACCTTTATTGCGATATCCATGACGTTTTATACTCCAGCCTCCTTCAGGATCTGTCCATATTTCTGAGATGAGATATTCTAACTATTTATATTATCTGCATTATTCGGATTGTTGTCCTCATTTTTATTATCACCCAAACCCGTCCTCATATCCGAACTACACTGAAGTTCGTATATGAAGACTTCTACTGTATATGAACAATAGGATTCCTGATTTATTTTAAGCCGTGGTGTTATAATTAAAATCAATTCGTTTGTTGAACATATACCGGATCTTTCTGAGTTTTTTTTTCATACCGACGCTAACGAATATAAAAACGCACAATGGGGCAAATTGTCAAAGAAAAAAAAGGACCCCGACTGTATGCTTAACACATCACTTCATTAAAACCACTAAAACACAAGGGGTTACTCAGTGTGAAAGAATAAGAAAAAAGAAAAAGATTATCAAGGAGCGAGAAAAATTGGAGAGTAATCAGGAGGACAGTAGATAACGATTGACATTGTATTTAAAATTTTAAGGATCAAAAGTTGTCTGGAAAGAATGGAGCCGAAAGAAAGGAGTTCGAATAAGGAAACTTTTAGCATAGAACTTACGGTTGCATCACGCCAACTCAACTGTGAATTAATGAAACCTTATACTACGCTTATATTATATGATATATTCCCCCGCTTATAATCTAGAGTGTGCCCTGTAAAAAAAGTATCAAAATTTATCAAATCAAAGTATCAAATTTATTCTTCGAGAAAATACATCAGCCCAGATCTGAATATTATGGATGACTGTATCTGAAGTGTACTCCTAACTCACTTGTAAAGCCATCGTTGTGACATCGTTGTGACATCGTTGATATTGATTCATTGAAGTGGAACTTAACTGAAACTCGGAATGAAATTCTTCTTGACACTATTCGCAAAGCTACTGCCTCCTGATTTTCACGCTTACAATTTTATGTTGAATATTCAGACAAACATTTCGAACATCTACAATGATTGTTCAGTTTGTACACAAATCATGATAGCTAAATAAATTTCTTTCTCAATTTACCGCCTCATCGGCATCCTGTAGTATTGAGCTTATATTCCTAAAGTTTCGGTACCATAGTGAAGAAATCATCCGAACAATTACTGTGAAAGTATTTATAGAAAAAGCCCAGGGAAGCTACATTAAGGCGGTGAGAAAGTGAGAAAATGATTGAACCGAAACGTTATGTGAAAATGAATAATATTGCTGATTCTTCTTTGGATTTTATCAAGGATCTCTAAATATAAAGCAAGTGCAGCAGATCATATTTAGCAGGAATATTCAAGGTCTTGGACGAATGGTAGACTTATAAAGTAATATAGATTTAGGAGCGAAAAATTGCTTAGTACGACATTGTGAACCAACTGTCCTAGCAGCAGACATACTAATGGATTCACTATAATCTTTCTACATCATGTCAGTCGAGAATGTAAGTCCGAGAAGGTGTAATAAGTTACTCTCATGGAGTTTGTATCAGTCATGCTGTTGGGAGGTTTGGAAATTATACTAGGAAGACAGAAGTAAGTAAATTTTCCTCTTAACCAATTTTGTCTCTTTGGATTTGTGATGGTACTAATTTTGTTTATTAAATGGTAAAATCTTTGAAATCTTGTAATGTCTATTTTATGATGCGTATCGATTAACTTATATTTTGATAGAAATTAGAAGAAAAAGAAGAAAAAATAAACAAAAATACAAAGAGAAAACAGAAAAAAGAAGAAAGAATATATGAAAAAGAAAGAAAGGAAAAGAAGGAAAAAGGGGAAATAAGAAAAAGAAAATATGACAAAAGAAAGAAATAATGAAAGAAAAAAGAAGAAAAAGAAAGAAAAAGAAAGAAAAAGAACGAGAACAAAGACAAAAGGAGAAATAAATCAATAAAGAAAGAAGAAACAAATACAGAAAATAGAAAGAAAATATAGAAAAGAAAAAGAAGAGAGGATGAAAGAAAAAAGAAAAAAGTAGAAGAAAAGGAAGAATGAGAAGTAAATCAATAAAGAAAGAAAGAAAGAAAGAAAGAAGAAGAAGAAGAAGAAGAAGAAATATTTCTGATGCTAATCGAATATAAATGTATCAATTTTTCTTATTCTGAATTAGACCCTACACCACCAATGATGGAAATTCCCGTCATCCTTAGTTATTTCCGATATATTCTATACTATCGACCTATGACGTTGAAACTCGTGTTTTTTGTCAATAGCTAAAAGGTAATGTTTAACGTTTATTTTCAATGTGTGTATAATTAATATATGCATTAATAAACATCATCGATAGATCTATTACGACGATGGTCGTCGTCACCTCGAATTTAACACTCAACCCAAAAAAGAACGTTCAACTATTAGAATTTACTTCTATTAATTTTGGCCCCAATTCCTTAGCCGCAGTGAAATTTGAGCAGAATCAAAATTAGTTTCAGGTAGAAAAATTCAAGATATCTACTTACTAGTATGAAGATCATCAGCCACTAAATAATCCCCGGATCGAATTAAGGTTTACGCGACTAATATCGAACAACCTTTATCTGGTTTGAGTTGTTTGCATATTTCACAAAAAGAGTTGCTATTTAAGTTAGGGTAATGCCTCTGTAAATCCAAATGGCCGAGGAGAATGATTTTGTCATGTAGATCTTTTAAGCGAGGAATACCTATTTAATTTAAAAAGGACATTCGAAGTGTTGTCTTTTACGCTTGAACGGCGCTGTAGTTGATGCTTACTGGGTTTAGCTTAGTAGGACATGAGGCCAGGTAGAATTATAAAAATTTTATTTCGCCAGTTCTTCTGAATGAGGAGTATTTTCCTGTTTTTACCAACAGAATTCGCTCCTTTTTTCTTTACCTAGGATCGAACCTCGAACGCTGGTATCCCATAACCGTTTCAGGCATGAGACAGATCACCTTTGCCGCTGTAGTGATTTCTTGCTGTATCTGGCTGACAATTCTTTGAAGAAAATCAGCATTTCTTGTGTTCCTAAACGCTGCTTAATGTTGGCTTTTTGTTCTTTCAGAGATTGGAACGACTAATAAATCATTGCTGACGGGAAAGTAGCGAGGGAACATGCTTTTAAAAGGTTTCTAATGTCCGGTTGTAATTGCCCAATGTTAATAATTCATAGAGCAAGAGCAAAATATTCTTCTTCTTCTTCTTCTTCTTCTTCTTCTTCTTCTTCTTATTATTATTATTATTAAGCTAATTAAAGAATCCGGACGGTAATAAATTTTCATCAAATTAATCCTCTTTACTCACAGATGTTAATGGTAATATTAACCGTTTCCTTATAAGAAAACATTCTGCATTTATTAAGCAAGCAGCCAGTTCTGTTATTGGTAGAAATTTGTAAAATCTTTCTCTTAAAAGAATTTTCCAGGAAAATAGGTTTCTCAAATCCTGTAACTATTATGTTTTTTTCCAACATTGAAGGCAACCTTTCTTCCTAAACTTTTATTAGAAGTAGTGTTAACATCAGAATCTTAATTATGCCAGTCTAATCTCTTCGAGTTACATGTGCTATACATTTTAGTTGTTGCTGTCGTTGGAAGTGCTCAAGTGATATAATTTCTGTTATTTGCTGTATTTCTTTGTAATTATATAGCACACCATTTTTAATCATTGACCTGAGAAAGCGGTTTTATATACAGATGACAGTTTAAAGATTTCTGAATGAATTTGGTGCCATGAATACCATCCATACGAAAGTCTCGTTCTGATGACGCTATTTAAAAACATGACCCTAGTTTTCAGGTTAATATTGTAGAAACTTGCCAATTCTATGCCCAATTTCTTTATATCCTATATCCTATGTCCAATTTCTTTATATCAGAGGTATTTGAATATTTAATCTTTATTAAATTCACATCCTGAAGTATTATGATGAATTCACGATAGTTTACACCAGTGTTTTTATTCCAGTTAAAGATCATAGTTTCTGTTTTTGGTAAGTTGGATCATGAATCCTAATTGTTAGAACAAGAGACGGCTACATTTAGGAGTTTCGACAGTGAAGGGGTGAGAGCGGGATGCCAGCCTCGTAGGGCGCTGGAACTCATGACGTTTGGGAACCAGCGAATGCAGCTCCTCGGAGCAATTTCCATGAAAGTATTTGTAGAACAGACAGAGGGAGGCGACGGCGCGTCTGTGAGAAAGTCACTGTAGACGAGACGCCAGGGCAGGGCCAACTACATTGCATATCCGCCTCTGGAGCCTATCAAGAACCCCGAGGGAAACAGAAGGGGTTCCAGACCATATATGGCAGCAATACTCCATGCAAGGGCGAATTGTTGATTTGTAGATCTGGAGGATCGACTCCGGGGAGAAAAACTTCCTGGCGCGGCTCAGGGAGCCAACTTTCCTTGCGGTGGACGAGGCAATTGACTCAATGTATTTATTCCAGCCAATTCATGCCCCAGTTCACAATCGATTGGAGGTCCTTTTCGAGACGCACGGCCAGGTGAGTTTTGTCAGCGAGAGTAGATTTGTTTTTGAGGCAGGAATAAATTGTGGTGTCATCCGCGTAGATGCCAACTTGTGAAGTTATGGCGTCAGGAAGGTCATTTATGCAGATAAGGAATAGAGTGGAGCCTAGGATGGAGCCTTGAGGAACACCTGCGTTCGTGGGATAGGAACTGGAGGAGAATCCATTGAGAACGACCTTCAATTCATAGTTTGACAGGAATGATCGTATTAGATCAAACAATCGACCCGTAATTCCATAACCCTGGAGCTTGCGAAGAAGGCCGGCATGCCAAACCCTATCAAATGCTTTGGAGATGTCTAGTGCCACGGCTCGGACTTCCCCGTTATTTTGAAGAGCTCGGTAGACTGTTTCAGTGATGGCCGTAAGCACATCGGCTGTAGATCGGGCAAAGATTTATTACTTTTTTGTTCACAATCATTCTTATCCCAACTATGAATACTTATGTCACCTGCATCGCCCTCCTCATCATAAATACACTAGCCACAGCAGGGAAAACAGATACCTACATAAATATTTACTACTTATTGACTAGAGCAAATTTCCACGTCAAATATAAATCTTCTGAAATGTTTTACAGGGTGCGATGAGTAAATGGTCGTCTAAATTACGCAAAAAATGCAAATAATACTGACATTTGATTTTAACAGATATATTTACCAAAATTATACAAAAATATCTTGAAATACTAAAGAGTATATTCATTCAATAAAATCGCCATTGGCTTCAACCTGCAATTCATCTGAACGTTCTCTTTCTTTAAGTTGGTGAGTAATTTCATAATCCTTACCTTCACTTCATCTTATGTGTTACAAAAAGTTTTGTTGGTCTATCATTCAACTACGCCCCACACATAATAATCAAGGCGGTTGCAGTCTGGGGAGGTAGGTAGCCAAATGTAAGGGGTGATGTGCTCAAAAATTGCCTGACAGCTATGACTGGGTTTTCTTGCTTGCGTGGCATGATGCAGAGTCCTGTTGTTAGATATAGGGTCTTCTAGCAGCCCACCTCTTGATCTAGGGCAGCGCTACCTCCTCAAGGCACTTCATGTAGGCCTCCGTTTTGAGTCTGATACCCTTTGGGAAAATGAATAAAGACAACACGTTGTGATCACTCGAAAACACCTTCGTAATGACCATTAGACCCAACTGTACTGTTCTTCTGGCACGAATGCCAAGCACTACAATATGGAGTGAATTGCGACATGGTGCTCTTTTTCTCGTAGACGATGGCCAACTGACCTTACTATACTGTGCAGTCGACAAAATCAAAAAACAAACAATGCGCATGTGCGAATTTAAAAATATAAAATGGCGATACTTTACCCATCGTACCCTGTACTTCATATCTTAACTTTAACTACACAAAGTTAAAAATGATTTATTAGGCTTAAAACATCTTCGAATTGACCTATTTTTACAGATCCTTATTTCGTTGGCTAGGATTCGCCTGGCACCAAAATCAAAGTTGATTTATCCTGAAATACGAGACATTTTTATAATGCTATATCAATTCGGAACATAGGCGGTTATGGCTCTCCATAGACTTCTTTCACTGAATTGATATGATGACTTGGAAAAGAAGATAATGGTTTTCTGTTTCTCCAGGAATTTGAATGCGTCTTGTTCTTAGCTGATTGTTAGCCAATACGTGTGTGTCCAATCTACTTTGAAATCTAATCCATAGGTAGAAGAGATAAATTCATGTCTTTACAAAGTGAAATCGGCAGTCTATGTCGGAGTTTGAAACAAGTTTACCGATTCTATTTTTTCATCGATAACCATTACGTTAAATGCGCATACTTTACGGCGTTAGTTATTTATAAAGTTATAAATCAAGTTCTGTCCAATAAAAGACGATCACCACATTTGTTAAAAGGTTTCTTTGGCAAGTCTTCATGGCGACAGAATAATTCCAATGTCACTCACACAATATACGAAAAATACGTTGTCGTTTTAGATGCGAGTAATATAGGGACGACCAGTTTATTGAGACCGAAGGTGAATAGGTGAACACATCGTTCACTTTGGTAATGGATTGGAATATATTGCGTTCGTTCTGAGAAATTTTAGAGTTAAAATACAAGGTTAGAGGTTAGAGCTTACATGCATTAATTATTTCAAGTGATGGTATGGCGTGTATCTGATTAGGGAAACATCTGTGTTGGTGTAGGGGATAAGCGCGAAGAGCAGGTGTTGTTGATGCTAGTAACGCCCCCAAGAAGGAGAAATGTAAAATGCCATTTCAAATGGAATGGCGTCAGTATGGTTTCCATAAAACTTGAAAAATACGCCTTCGGTTGGAAATTGACGGTGACATCAGTAGAATGCCGATGGTGGCGTAGTTATGGCTGGAAGGCGGGAAATGAAAGGCTGATATGTCATGAGCATGTCATTTATTTCTTTAATAGTACTTTTCCTCAGTTAATGCCTGGAATGTACATTGGAAGGCGTTCTTTATCTGGCTAGGAGGTTCGTAAAATGTGACATACAAGCAGCTAGGTGTGCTAACATTTTGAATACTATTACGTTACATCGTTTATGTGTCGTCGGGATCGAGGTTTTAGAAGCCAACTTACAGGAATACATGCATGTCCGACAAAAGGACAGGTAATGAAAATACGCATTGTTCAACCGCGGATGTAATACACTTTAACAAAGAAACAAACACGGTACACAAAACTTATCCATTGTTTATTCTTTGCTTTCATCAGGGAGGTCCGTGATTTTTAAAAAAGTTTAAGGAGTAAAAAACATATACGAGAGTTGCGACATATCGGAACACATTAGTAAAGAAGCTAGTTACAAATACATGCGAACTCGTTTGGCGAATAAGTTTAATGAGCCACGTATCTAATTTTAACGCCCGAATTCTGATGAATAGAGCGCACAGCAGAATTAGATATTAAATGTGACAAGAACAAAGAATGCGATATTTATGGTCGGAATGGTACCAGAAGACACAGCAGAAATACAGAAGAACATATATATATATCTATGTTTCAGAGACTATGTAAAAGCATTTGATAAGGTACGGCAGGAAGATCTATTTGAACTGCTAGGGAAACCTGATTTATTTGGGAAAGATATTATAATAATCCAAAATTGATATAGATAGCAAATGAATTAAGTAAATACACAAACATAGAAAAGGATTTAAGAAAAGGATGTGTTTTCTCACCAGATTTATTCGACCATTACAACGTGGTGATCCGAAGAGAACTAGAAGTCCAACCATGTTTTATTATTGACGGATACAATCTTAACAACATAAGGTATGTAACTGAAAATGTGTTGATAGCAGGTAAAGAAAGGAAACTGCAGAAACCTCGAGTTAAGGTCGGAAAATAAAATAAAAAAGAAAGGACTAAACATAAATAGTTAATATTAAGATATAATTTATAGTTTTCATCAAAAGATGCGAATTACGATTTGGAGATGAATGACAAAATCTAGCAAGTATGAAAATTATATATATATATATATATATATATATATATATATATATATATATATATATATATATATTATAATATTTTTTTGTTTAAAATATGAATCATATTTTTTAAACAAAAAATTATTATACTATAAGCCCTACTTCGGCTGTATGGAGCACTGTCTTCTTAAAAATAAAAAATTACTAAGAACTCCGGATTATGCACCCAACGTGTTCTTTTTTCTATTTTCTGCATACCTACGCACTTATATATATATATATATATATATATATATATATATATATATATATATATATATATATTAAACCAAACAAAAATTGATTTCATTTTTTGTTTGGAAGTAAAGTCTGATGATCCGCAGTCCTTTTAAAAGGGCTGTGGTGAAATAATTTATTACATGGAACCTTAAAGTGGTCTGTTTTTATTTAAATTGTTTGCTCTGGATTTACATTGAGCTCTCCTTAGGTTTATCCTCCTTAGGTTTATCCATACGGATTACCTAGTTTTTCATAAACTATATATATATATATATATATATATATATACATACATATATATATATATATATATATATATATATATATATATATATATATAAGTATATGATTAGCATATACGGAATAAATTCCAATGCCCAAAAATATTAGAGTGCTCAATACAGAGTAAAGCAAATATAATTTATTCGAAAATTATAGCATAAACATGTTATAAAATCACTACAAAAATAGCCATTTTGTTTCAACACTTCTGGTGTCTTATCAAGAAATGGTGTTGAATGTAGAATAAAGAATTTTAAAAGTTCAAATCGACGAAACACCCCTCGCTAGGGGAAACGCTATTACATAAACTGCAACGACCAATCAAAATATAAGTATCTGAGAATTCAAAAACTTGAGAATGAACCTTGGTTATAATTGTTAATGCCTTAATGTTAGAGTTAAATTAAAATAGAAATCATTCTAATTAGTATTAAATTTTACTATAAAATTGAAAATTAAAAAATACCAATTTAAAATTTAATATTTGTGCATGTCTAAAATATTATAAAATTATTTAAAGGAGAAACTGAGGAAAAAATACATGTTTTGTTATTTATTTTGTTTTAATTGAAAGGCTAAAAATTCAGTTAGAATAAACGTTAAAATCTAATGTTTATGCAAAGCTTTGTTAGAGCTTAGATACATTTAAAGTGGTGATATGGGCAAGAGGGGGGTGTTGAAATCATGCAAAAGAAAATGCATAAATAATCAGATTATAATACACTAACACATAGACATATTTAGATATATAAACACGCAAGACGAACGAAACAGGAAATAGATGTCCACGACCCTTTAAAAAAAAAGACAACATATACATGCAATGAAAGGCATATATAAGCTATCATACATACATGCATTACTAAAAGCACACACATATACACACCAACAAATATTCAAAATTGAACATATTAGTAAACGAATTCAAACAGACTATTAAAATATAATTTACATGGGTAGAAATATATAGATATAAATGGTTCAATAGATAAAATTTAATTGGGGTAGAATAGAAAAGAAATATTCGTCAATGAACAACGTGAAGAAAAAAAGACACTAAAATATATAGAAATGGATAGAAAAATAAATATATACGCATAAACACATAAGAAAACACCAAATTCAAATGTCCAGGCAAAATATAATACTTAAAATAAAATAAAACCAGATAATATATAAAAATAAAAGCATATAAACACACAAATATATATAAATATCTCATATATACTTATATACGCATGTACACGAATACAAATATATAACAATATGTAAAAGAATTCATACATACGTACGTGTACACACATTCATCACTACAAATAGAAATATACATAAATATACATACACACATACATACACATACACATATACACAGACATATATATACCTATAAACACACATATACATACATACACATATACATACACATATACGCATATGCATATATACACACACATAGAAATAAATATAAAAATATCAACCTACGCAGTAACATAAAAATGGAAAAAAATAAATATATATACATATATATAAATACACACACATATATATATATATATATGCACATATACATACATATACCTACACATTTAATAACAATATTATGCAAATGACTATAAAGAATATAAAGTCCATACAAGATTAAAATGTGACAAAACACAACTGTTGATTATTAAGTCCACAAGCAATTTTAAAACCACTATCAAACAAAAGTAGATTATAGTTAGCATAGATAATATATTCAAAAACACTAAGATATACACATATACATATATATATATATATATATATATATATATATATATATATATATATATATATACGGACGCGCACATACGTACATCCGCTTACAATCCCAAACATATAACAGGCGCATAAATATATAATTGGTTTGCTTTGTTATACGGCATATCAATCTCAATGGGTTATTTAATGCCGACAACTTTTTTTTCTGGTAATATTTTGTTTTGTCAAAAATCTATTCCTGGTAATATTTTTTTCCTCAAAAATGTATAGCTGGTAATATTATTTTAAAAAAAATGTATTGTTGGTAATATTTTTTTTTACAAAGTATTTCTGGTGTTAAAACCTATTTTTTACACTTTTATAATGCTTTTTACCTCTGTTTCGGGGGTTAACTATTTGCCCATAGTTGGGACCCTAGCAGGTGCTACCACCCCGGGTCAGGGTGGACCTGGAAACACCATCAATTAAGAGGTCGTTGCACGCTTCTCAAAAGCTCCTGATCATAGGCTTTAATGTTGGACGTAGTTTATCGTCTTACCCAGGATGCGGGTGTAGTTTAGCGTCATACCCAGGACGGGCATAAATATATAAACAAGCACATATATAGTAGCCATCAATACAAATAGATATATACACACAAACATATAGGTACAATTACAAATATATTCATATATACATCCATGCACGCAAACATACACACATTCACGCATACATACATACATACATATATATATATAGATATATATATATATACATACTTACAAATAAACATTTACACATACATGTACATGCAAATACATATATACACACATATATTTATGAAAGTAAATATACACATACATACATCTATCTATAAATATATACACATGTGCGGATGCAGACACAAACAACATAATAAACGTTTACCTACATATATATATATATATATATATATATATATATATATATATATATATATATATATTTAACGTTGTTATTTAACGTTGTTATATATATATATACATAGCTAGGAGGATTAGCAGATAATATAAGTAATAACATACTAAATTTACAGTCACATTGCCTTATCGTCAAAAAATATTACTACCTCTTTAGTAAGTTAAATATTGAGCTATGTTTACAGTTAACAGTAAGTTCATTCCATTGATTGAGATGGGTCTTGTCTTTAAATCTAATGATTTCAATTTTTTCATTACGACATAAATAATAACATTTAGAGGATTACATGTTCGAGCCCTCTTAATTAATTTCCATTTAACAGTAGGTGGCTTGTTTTTCTCCTTTAAACACCAAAAATACTTGGATAATGAAGTCTTGTATTTATGATTACTACAAAATATGTATATATTTTCCTCAGTTTATTCTTTAAATAATTTTATATTTTAGACTTAAAACCGATTAAATTTAAAATTGGTAATTTTTAATTTTCAATTTTATAGTAAAATTTAATATTAATTAGAATGATTTCTGTTTTAATTTAACCCTAACGTTAAGGCATTAAGAATTATAACCGAGGTTTGTTGTCAAGTTTTTTTGAATTCTCGTATATTTGTATTTTAATTGTTCATTGAAGCTTATGTAACAGCGTTTCCCCTAGCGTGTGGTGTTTGGTTGATTTGAACCTTTTAAAACCCTATATTCTACATTCAACATCATCACTTGATAAGACACTAGAAATGTTGAAACAAAATGGCTATTTTTGTAGTGATTTTTTAACATTTATGTTATAATTTTCGAATAAATTATATATATATATATATATATATATATATATATATATATATATATATTTATATGTATATATATTAGATGTTTTTTTTATCGGAGGCTGGAAAATGTTATAATGAAATCTGAGGGTACATTGAAATTGGAATTGTATTTTTCAAA